CAGTGAGTAAGAGAGGCTAAGGTTAAGGTTTCTGAGAGTGAATTTAACGCACTCCTTTGATCTAGTTCGGTGAAAGTGCTAAGCAGTATAGTCATAGGTAAAATAAATTTTTTTCTGAGTGCCTTGCATTGTGTGCGTTTCTTACAGACATATAAACTAAACCGGCACAGCCGTTTGCAACTACCAGTACCAGAAAAATGCAAAGCACTAAAAAACCACTACTGTGGTGTTTCACTTAATTTTGAAGATGTGAATGACCTGTGATGGAGAGCAGGAAAGCAGGAATAGGCTGAATGTATTTTGCTATTCTTGTGGCTTAGCAGAATGTTATACACAAGGAGAAATCTCCCCTTTTAGACCTGATTCACTGCTAGACTATGGTTGCTTTACATTATTTTGGCAATGTCAAAAAACCTTAAAGGACATAAAAATTGTATTTGCATTCTGCTTATGCTCTGATTCTCTAATACAGCAATGGTACACTGTAGATACAACTGTGCTTTATGTGACTGGCAAGATCCTAAGAGATGACTTTTCCCCATCTTTTCTTAGAAATGCAAACAAATTAACAAATGCAGAGCTAATTTGGTGCCAGAACAGCATAGTGAAGATTGATCCTCAACAGCTGAGCTGTGCCTTTTCGTATTAAGTCTTCAGCATCTTTCTCCTTCCAAAATTAGTCATGAATAAAAAAATGAGAAAAGTAATAATATGAAGACAAATGCCATATACTACAGAGCATTTATGAAATGCCTGCTTGTCTCTTAGACCATGAATTGCTGTGATCCTGCAAAAATAATTTCTTTCAGAAGTGGACTGAGAAAACCGATGTGTCTGTGCTGGACTGAACTTGTTGTGTTTCACAGTATACTAGAGCTGTCCTCATTTTTTTCTAATATTTTGTCACTGTGATGCAAATAGTGATCACAACTATTAAGTCCTTCCTATCTTCTAAAGAAATGATCAGGGCCCTTTTGTAATTTGAAACTGAGGACACAACCATTCTATACCTAAGACGGAGAGGGAGCTTGTGAACATTGCACAGCATGGTTTTAACATTTACTACCATAAAATATACTACAAAGCTACCTTAGGGCATATTTTAATCTTTCCTGTAGAATTGAAATTTTTCCTTCTGTGTGAACAGTGATTTACCTTCCAGGATATACGGTCTTATTAAAAACAAATATGGAAAGCAAGAAATTTCTTCTCCCATTGTTTTGGCCCTCCTCCAAAGGAAAAAGGTTGTCTTCCTCATGAGCAACCCATTTGTCAGTTTATAAAATACTTCACACATGTAATGTTTGGGAGTAATCAAAACTTGTATCTCCCAGGCTTTTTTGTTGGAAAAAAAGAATGGGAGATTTTTCTACCCTTGTAAACATGAAATCCGTATCTATGTCATGAGGCAGAAATGCACTGGCAGTGGGATTTACCTGGGGATACAGACTGAGGTGGAACCTTTGTGATGAGGGCGGTATTCCCCTGGAGATACAACTGAACTGAAGTGGTTCCCCTAGCTAATCCAGCCCTCGTCCAGGTTGCTCACTGAGGCACTCAGGCCAGATCAAAAGATGAAGTTGTGTATACCATGAATATGTCTACTAGATTCAGTGCAAAGAACAGAGATTTGTGTCTGTGGCGGGGCTGATGATTGCTAATTGTTTGCTAAAACTCAACATATAAGATCAGATTTTTCTCCAGCAGCCAGGTGCCAAAAGATGCAGCTAATTCAGCAGCGGAATTTCAAAATGCCTCAGCAAGATAAGTGTCTAATCTCCAACAGGATTTAGGCACTTAACCAGATTATACTCTGTTTAAAAATTTATTGCCTACTTACCTGCATATTTAGCAGCCTAACTACCTTCAAAAAGCTCTCCTCCAAGGCCCCAGTTTGGAGCAAGAACTGCCCATAGATGTCTAGCTTTTCCCATCAGGATTTTTTTCAGTCCTGTACGTTCACTGTTGAAGATCATCAACCTGCACTAGAAATTTGAATGCTGTTACTTTTCTGTACCTGGAAGAAAACAGCATTTACTCTTCAGTATAGAAGTATGATGGGGGGGAAAAAAAGGCACAGTGGGTTCATCTGAAATGCCTTGGAGACAAGAACACTGAAAAATGTGTCTGGTGAAGAGTACTGTTGAATTCCCAGATCACTTACGCTGGTACCAAGAAAAAGTAACTTTAAGATCTACTCCCTACCCAGAACACACAGTACTGCCCCTCCATCCAAAGGCAACGATCTCTTTACCAATTCCCTCTTAACAGCTCCTCTAGAAAGAATCTTAAAGTTGAACGTATCTGCCCGAATAAGCTGAAATGGCATAATTTCATGTTTTGGGGAAAATTTTGAGGTTTATTTCACTCAAAAAGAAAAAAGCTGCAGAAAATTTGTCTAGCAATTAGTCTAAAATCTATGTGAGATTACACATTCTTTATGCTGAATACAAAGAAATAACAACTGTGGTAACAATTTACAGCACCAGAAAATAACTAAGGTCCACTCTGGATTTTTGTCTTAGGCTACTAGAGATTTGACTTGTAACTTTGTCAATGTTGAGATATAAAAAGCTTCTCCATTCAATCCAATCCCATTTAATATTAAGACATAAAAAGCTTCAGTGGAACAAGATGATCTACTTTTTAAAAGTCTGCTGTTTCTCTCTGCAGAACTGTCTTTCACAAAACCAAACTTGTTTCTATTTTCCTTCCCGTCCCCACAAAAATTCTCTCAGTCTGATACTCTTCAATCATGATTAAAAGGCATTTCTCAGTGTCTCCCTGACAAATGTTCCTACTCATTTTTTTCAGAAGCTGGCAATGACATTTGTACCTTGCTTGGTGTTTTGTATTGGACTAATTTACCAATTTAAGAAAACCACTGCAATATCTTGTTGCATACAAACACCATCCTGCAGGACGCACCAGGTATTTGTGCATAACTGGGTAGGATGAGGGGGTTCAGTAGTGCTGGTTTCCCAAACTCATTCATTTTGTTCCTGCCCATCAGTATTCTACCTGGAAACAGCACTGACTTAGCTGGCAACATAGAGCATATTTGCTATCATTTATATGCTGGAACTGTCATGAATATGTCACAAAACATGGAATTTGTCCATATGCTTGGAATTCAGTCAAGTATGCCTAAAAAAAAGAGCTAAGAACTGTCAAGCAAGCAAGCAAAGATTAAAAATTTGTTACTTTAAATAAAAGAGCTTCAGGACTGTTCAGCACTACATTTCAAATATACCAAACTCCTTCAGACTTGCAGTTTCTTAATGCAAACACAAGATAAGGGTAGCCACAGATTTATGCTTGGATGTCAATAGTGAGCCTGAACTGTGACGAGACGTCGAAATCAGCAGTGATCTACACACAGCAGTGCCAGTAGTATCCTGGCTGCTGAAGGGTGTATGTGGGTGCAGCATCTGTGGCTATCAGGCCAGTAAAAAAAACAGAAGTAGAGTTTCTCACCCTTCCTAGATTCAAGGAACATTTGACCTGATACACTGTATTACCTTTCTCCAGACCAATTCTTCACTACTTGTTTGTGTCCCTAAAGCACTTAGGGCATTACCTAACCCTGTCAGCTACAGTAAAACACACAACCTGACCTGAAGCCAGTGAGCCTTGCTGACACTTCCCTGGAGAAGCCCAGTAAGAGCAGTAAGTGACCATGTCCTAGATCCCAGAAAGCTTGAGGCTTCAGCTCCAGCCTGTTGCATCAAGGGGCTAGTACTCAGGAGGCGTAACAGACCAAAGAGAAGAAAGGACGGTCTGTATCTTTCACTTCTTGACTGTTGTACCTCGGATGACATGAGCAGCCATTACAGGAGGTGGAATGTATCATATCAGGCTGTCCTCATCTGGGTCAATGCATAAAACAAAGTGTCAAATGTGGGGAAGACAGTGAAAAGAGTAATGTGGCAGGCTTTTCCACCACTTCTGTCACTCTCCAGACTCTCCAGAAGAATGTGATAGATACTGCAATTCAGTTCCTTAACCAAGCAAGCTAAATTCCTCCTTCAGATAACCTGGAACATTACTGGCCAACAGTAATATATCATCTACTAAATTCTGTCCAGGTTTGGAAAGAGAAAGAAAATCCAGAGCCAACTAATGAAACTGTTGTCAGCATTCTCCATAGGTTCATGGCCTTTATTGAATCAACTTATAAATCTCTGGATTTGCAGGGCTTCTGAAAGGCTCTGTGCCCTTTAGCTGAAGTATGTCTTTCCTTTCTGGTACTATGGGCAGGAGTTTGAATTTCTGGGAATTGCTTCTCAGTTCCTAAAACACAGATGAATCAAGGAGCAAGAATCAACCTGAGGTGTCTCAGGTGTGAAGAAGTATTTGCATGACGTAATCCACTTCCTAGCACCTCACAAGCATTTTCACCCAACAAAATTGCTGGCGGCATGCAGACCTGGGACAGTGAGAGTGTTGTCGAGCTCTCTTTTGCTGCTGTCGTTTCTCTGGCCCTTATGAGTTAGTGTTGAATGGGTGCTAGGAAGTGTTTGGTGGCTGGAGGAAGTGAATTCTGCATTATGTTATTTCCTGCAGTCAAGACTTTCATGAGCCAGGCAACCCCTTCTAGCTTTTGGTTCCTGTATAAAAGCAGCTACTGGGAAAAGCTCTCAGAGCTAACAAACCTAGAAATCTCTGAAGGCTGTTCTTTGCAGGAGGATGGGTTACAATGAAATGAGATTGAAGTATCTTTGAAACAGAAAGTGTCAGTGACACAGAAGCCATAACCCACTGCAGCAAGTCCCAGTCCTGTTGCCCTCAACTGTCATCAGATTCACGCCGTCACCAAGGTGCACTGAACCTGCTGGTTTGTGAGTAACTCATTTGCACGTGGTTCTCCACCCAATCCAAACTCACCCCTGCTGGCTCTCAGTTAGCAACGCAGAACAAACCCATGGAGACTAGAGAAATGAATCATTTTACCCAGTACATGAAGCCTTCACACACGTTTGCATTTGGATGACTCTTACCTCTTTCTGGTGATACTTTATTGCTACCTTTAGCTTTGCCAAATCATGACATTTTTGGGGATCCAGCTCCTCACTTTGATCATCTCTGTGATTGAGAATGATCTCCAATTCTCGGGAACTCCGTGCTTGATCCAAAAGGTCCTTAGCAAAACGCTTGCACTGCTGTGAAAGCTCTTCATATTCAGCCTTGAACTCATTTTCCACTTTGCTGAGCTCCTTCAGCTCCCAGCCCAGTCGGAAGGCCGTCAAGATGGGGTCCTCACTTGATAAGGCAATCAACGAAGGGCTGGCTAAGGCTTTGTAGATGTTCAGCCTTGACCTGGAATGCCTTAGGCTGTCCACCTCCGAACTGGAGACACATTCCACACAGTTGCATCTGATCTGGTGTGGGCGTGGAATTGTTACCCGTCTTTGGACAAGCAGTTTGATGATTTCATAGTTGTTGGTGTGAGCCGCCAGCATTATTGGGGTGATATCTGGAGTGAATTCTGAAAACTGGGTGTCCATCATCAAGGTTGGAACCTATATAAAGGGATAAACCATAGTCATATTTCATGCGGAACAGCAGAAATCAGATGTCCCTCCTTCATACTTTTGAAGTGATGTCATAACAAAACAGAGTTTCTATAACACCCTCTGTTCTTTAAATCCTGTTGTAACCATGCACGCACACACACTGCTATTCTGGCAAAACCATCTTCCCTCAAATCATGCCTGTCTGCCTCCTGAGCAGGAACCTGTGACCATTCATTCAGCTCCCAGTCTGGTGTAAAAGTCAGTCACATCCCCATCTGAATGCTTTATATGTGAACCTGTTCTGAAATGGATATTGGTTCATATACCAAATGGTGGACTTCTGCAGGAAAAAAGGAAGACAAAAGGCCCAGGTAATTACACAAAAAGAAAGGAAAGTCTAGAAAAGAGTGAACACTGAATAGATTTCCATAACTATCATCATTTGCATTAGCAGGCCAAGAACCTGCTTGTAGTAGACCATATGAAAACCAAACCAAACATTGGTCTGCAGCTGAGCAAAGCTCTTCCTCACCTTTTCCCTACTGTTTTTATTTGAAAATACTTTTCAGTGGAAGGATACATTACATAACTGCCCTCAGAATAGATTTGTTTTTTTTTTTTATAATGGGTTTGAAAAAATTTAAATGTAGAATTAATGAGCCATAGTCCACTACAAATAAGACACTCCAGGGTGTGCATTATTCAGCTACTGTTGCACTTCTCAAAAGATGAGCTTAATGCACACCCTGTTGTGTCTTATTACTATACACAGAGTGCAAAATTAGACCAAAATGCTCTTACATCCCAAGCACGCAGTATGTTCCCATTTGCAGCACAGGCAGCTCTCTTTGTTGTGTGTTAATCATTACTCAAGCATACTGTACTTCGTGTGCCCACCACTCTTGCCCTGGCAGTTGGCATCCTGCTGCTCAAGGGGTGATTGCTGGCTTTGGTGAACAGTAGGCCTGTTTCCCCTTGCAAATGTCAAAGGCGTTTCAGAGAAACTATTGTCAAAGAGTCCTAATGACAGGAAATATTACTCAGTATGTAAAAATCCAAAAGTAAAGCAGCAATAAAGTAGTATGAAGTAACTGGTTAGAAATCCTTCTGTAGGATATACCTAAGACTGGTTATGAGACAGTGAACCTCTAACCATGAGTCTGAGTTCCCTGAGAGTTAAGTGCCTCTAGCACTAAAGACTCCTGGGCTGCAGTTGATTGATAAACCTCTACACAACCCACCTGCGACAGCAGGACAGAGCCTGTTCATAGCACACAACACTCTCCCAAAGGTCGGCATCACACTGAGATGCAGGGTCATCTACTGGAGCAGGGCTCACTGGGTGGCTATGGGTATTTTCGGGTATAATACAAGTCTGCTACTCTGGATGCAGCACATGAGGAGTTGAATCTCTGGCAGCCTACAGACACCCAGGTGTGAAGAGGCTTTGCTAACAAGGCTGGTCCCTATAGAGGCAGCCAGGCGGGAGCCTATAAATATGGCTCATGGGAAAGAAGAGAGAATGGTAGTGAGGATTTGCTGTGGGTTGTGCAGGGCTTGGTGCCTCTTAGCATGGTTGGATAAACGTATTTTAAGATATCTAGTAACAAACAGCTGAAAGCAGCTCTCTTTGTAAGGTCTTTGACTTTCTTTTCCTTTACTTAGCTCATTTAGGTAGTTTGTTAAATGTCAAGAGAAAGGTGTGGGTTTTTCTTTTTTCTCTCTCTTAGAAGCATTTTTTTAAAACCCCTGATGCTTGAATAATTGCATTTATCTTTCTTCCCCTCCTTTTTCAGTCAGTCACTGGCTGCTGTATTCACAGCCTCTGCCTCAAAGGAAGAACGCTTTCCCTCTCTATCACTCCTATTACTGTCAAGTTTAATCTTGTTTTCCTGTATGGAAGTTATTGTATCCAGGGTTGTGAAAAGGATTTTCAGCTTTACACAGATGAGGTATTCATGTTGCTCAGAATACGAAACGGGCACTTGCAGACAAGACAAGGTAGTAATGTTACAGGTGGGGATAGTGCTAATCTTGTCTGCTCCTGTCTACTCCTGAGGTTTTCTAAATCTGGATCTAAGGCTATCAAAATGGTTGTCCCAAGGTTTGGGATCAAATCAGGGGTGTCCATCAGGTGATCTCTCATCCCTTATTCTGGCTCATATCACAAGCCCTCACCCCAAAAATGGAGCACTACTTCATTAGGACTCGGGCAGCTGATGTGTGGAAGGCATGTTTTCCTAGGCAGTGTGCAGCACTTTTAATTAAGGGATAAGAAGCGAAATGGTGGTGCAGAGACAGAGAGGCTCCCTGGGGTCTGGGAGCAGATCAGTGTAAGGCTTCAAATCACAGGTGCTGAAGCTTATTTCTGATTATAGCTGAGCAGCAAAACAAACCAACAAAACACAGAAGAGGAATAGTGTGAATGATGGCTGCTGTGGCTTCTCTCTTTTCTATGCCTGGCTGATCCAAAGACCATGCGTTGGCTAAGAATTATATATCTTGTGGTGAATATTTTTGTTGTCTTCTTGCATAGTGTTTTGACAACCTGCATCTTAAACTGTCTTGTTTTAAAGATGGGGCTATACAAAGCAATACATATTATCTACATATTATCACTGGAGGGGCAGCAGAGATTACAACAATGCATTGTAATTGTTGATGTTCCTCCTGCACTATTCTGACAGGTTGAGTTCATGTTTAGATCAGCTTCTTCTATGTCTTGGGTTAACTTACAGTGATGGAAGCAGAAGAGGAATAAATTATTCTACCCCAAGGGCTCTGCTAAGCTCTTCCAAGGTTATTTTCATTAAGTGACCTGAATAACAAATTCTTTTCCATTAACCTCATCACCTGACACAAGCTGTTAGGCTGAGTCCTTCAAAACCTTATTGTCACTACTTGCACAGGAGCATGTGCCTTGTCTGTATTTCATCTTGGTAATGTTCACTTAAGAAATTAATGCTACAATTAACAAGTGACTGAATGCTTGTTACCATCTTCCTAGACTTAATCCTCATAAAAGCTGTCCTAAGGTTTGGGATCAAATCTGGGGTATCCATCAAGTGATCTCTCATCCTTTATTCTGGCTCGTATCACAAGCCCTCACCCCAAAAATGGAGCACTACCTCATAAAGGTAGGTAGGCTGCTTACCACTGTACTGCTGCTTCTCTAAAAGACACTGCAGTGAGTGAAAAATCTTTATTTAAAAAAGGGGCGGGGGGAAGAAACAAGCTTAATTCATTAGAGGAGAAGAAAAGGGGAGGATTAGCTCACATAAAAGCACTGTTCAGTATAGCTAAGCTCTCTTCTGAACAGAAAAACAAGTTTTCCAGTAAATAGTGCACTGCTAGAAAGAACTTCCGGATAGGAAGACCAGGAATCTCTGCTTATGTTAGTAACTAGTACAGTATAAGAGGAGCAGAACTACAGAGCAACAAAAAACCCTGGCACTGAAGACCTGACAGCCTTGTTGTATAGGTCTTTTAGTTTTACTTTGGACTTAATCTAGTCTGGTATCTGAGTGCCTCTGAAGCACGTCCTCTGGTTTAGTATTGTGTAAAAGCAATCCAGCTCAAGTGCTCTGAATAAACCAAAGCGCAGTAAATGGGGAGGTTAAGGAGATACAGCTCAAAAGCATGCTCCTCAACCAAACTAAAAGACTAATATGAATCCATCTTTTGCCTTTTATGGACCATAGAAGCTAATATCCAGGTTTAAACACCGGCAGATTTCAAAGCAAGCTGTAGTGTTTCTACAGCATTTGTCATCTATCTATGCATATAAAAAAGGACAACTAGGTGAAAAAAAGATGTTCTGCAGCAAAGGGAACTTGCCAGTCAAGTGCAAAATCTTGAACTCTGAGGAAGTAGTCTGGCTCTGTCTAGTGACTATTTGGGGGTGGTTTTCTGTTTCTATCTCTGAATCTTATGCTTTTCTGCCCCCTCTTTATTGACAGTCCTCACGATTATGGTGTGGTAACCCTATCAGACATCAGTCTCCTTTCATGTTCAGGTCTCTTCTCAGCGTTCACCTTTAGTGGTGCTCACAGCTACAGTCTCCACAGATAACCCTTTAGTGCTTCAGACCTGCACTGAAAAGAGAATACCTATAAAGTAAAGCAAAGCCTAACCACGAAATCCTTTACTTTCTTAGTTTTGTTACTCTCTAATTGTAATCTTCTTGGGTCAGAGGCAGTCTAAATATGCATCCTGTCTGGCATTGAGAATGCTGCCACTTTTGCTTGAAAATAACTAGTAATACTTTTACCTGTTACAGGTGGAATTGCCCCATTTTGAAGCCATCTCCATTCCATAAACTAGCACCTCACCTGGACTGGTGTAATAAATTGTAAGTATAACCATGATAAACTGTAAATATATTAATCTGCATTATTTTCAGCTTGCATAACTTTTTGATACAACTATATGTTATAAAAGATGTTCTAATTGCCAAAACAACATTTTACTAAACAAAACAAACTCATGCAACATCACTGGAAAACTTCAAATGTAACACTTATGGACATGGAAGCTTGGGTAACTTATTGAGCAAGGATTTCCTATTTCTAGTTTGTTTTTCTGCATGCAGCCCTATGGGGGAAGTGCATATGCCATCCACAAGTCCAGTAACAGGCACAGCCGATTTCTGTCAATCGAAAAAGAAGATTTTGTACTACATCAATTTAGTGTGAGACTCAGTGGTCAGAAGAAGCTTTAGCAGTGACTGTGATTTTGTTCAGAATCGCAGTTCTGTGGTACTTCTAGCTGCAGCTCTATAAATAGAGCATGAGAGACGGAGTCAGTGTTGCTAGACTGCAGATCAGCCATGTTACCAGCAAAAGGGTCTTGAAAAAAATACATATTGTAACTGGCACGACCAATTGAATCCTGCTCCTTGCTGAAACCCATAAACAAATTCTTTTACTGACAGAACCCCATGGGCATTTATTTTCTTATGTGGGACTCTGGAAAAATGTTACATCCTTCTGTAGATTTAAGCATTC